CGGGAAGTGAAAAAAAAGAGGAAAGGAATGAGAATTGAACATGCAAAAACTACCACATTGACCAGATCCAAGAATTTTTTCAAGCAAAGTTTTATATTCAAGAATGGTTTTAAAAACCTGTAACTTATATATAATCAAGATGGAAGCAAGTCTACGACATACAGAAAAACAAAGACCTTATTCAAATTGATCACAAGATAAAACACTTTATTATAAGAAATGTTAGCTAACGCTAAATCAACTTAACAAATATGTATAAAAAAACGTTATCTCGGTCCATATCTATAAATTAATGTATAACTATGTTAAAGAAATCTTGATTAATTTAGTTAACTTCCAGTTATCCATGTTCTGAGAGTAATTAGCCCCAAACCCTAAAAATTGGGTTTTGCTTTGTGCTTAACGAAAAACAAACTTGAATAACTAGCACTAATTGGAATTCCTGTCTCAATGTCTTGCCCTTTAAAAGAACAAAATTATTCGATAAATGAGCCCCCCCCCCCCCCAAGTGGCTCGGCAGTAAGTCTGAAAACTTATAATGCAAGAAACTGGGTTTCAATATCTGTGGTGGGAACAGTACAGGTAGCCCTTTGTGGGCAAGGGCAAATAAATTAATTTGGTACAAGAAAAGATCGCATAATTATGACCTGTTGTTTGTGTAAGTGTAACAAGGTGGAGCCATCTCCCCATTACACCAGTAATAAGTGTAATGAGGACTTTGATTTTAATACTTAGGGCTGGAGTAGCTAATTTTTTACCTAAATTGAGATATTCAACCATTGATAAGAACAGCCAAGTTTTTAACAGTAAACGATTATTCTCGGACAAGGCACTAGTAGGTCCAAACAGTTATTTAAAGTAACAACAATAGGATTAATAATAATAAGGGGTTAAGAAACTAGTATTAAAATCTTTATATGGAATCGGTCTTTTTGTATTTACTCTGGAATATTTGTTGAAATAAGTAGAAAAATATTGGAATTGTTAATTTCGTTGATGAAGACCTGTAAAAGTAGTGCTTTTGAATTTACACAGGCTAAGCATAGCTGGTGGTTAGTTTGTGTGACTGTGGATTTAGGGCCCACGGTTTGCCACAAAAAAAAATCGTATAATTTACTGTAACAAATGAACAGACAGGTGAAAATATAGTTACTCACTGATTTGTTGAAACAACATATAATAACAAACTGGTCATATAATTTACTGTAACAAATGAACAGACAGGTGAAAATATAGTTACTCACTGATTTGTTGAAACAACATATAATAACAAACTGGTCATATAATTTACTATATAGCTAAATACTTTTTTAATGGGAATATCGAATATCGGCATCTGACGATGTGTATGTGTGCGTGGAGGGAACTGCTTTGACTAGGGAGTAAATCTGTATTCACATTACATAATGAATTTAATATAATTCTGCACCTAACATGCCCAATTTATCTTTTATTAAAAGAAATATTTGTTACACAGTTCCTGATAAATGTGTGATCTCGTAGTTAGTAACAATAATATACAAACATGTGAAAGAAAATAAATATAGAATATGTTTCTTCGGTCAGTTATTTTTTACTCATCTGTCCTTTAAACATGTTATTCACTTTATATTCTTTGTCATTTTGTTATTCATTGCTGTCTCTCTCTCTTTTTTTTCTTATTACGTCGTTTCAATTTTCATTCTGTCTTTTTTGCCACCTTTTCTAGCTGGGTGTTAGCATTTAATAATAACAACTTTTAAATGACAGCGAATAAAGGTGCACAATAACGTGTCAACCACTATATCTGGTGCTGATAAGGCCTTTTACCCGTGTCGGGCTGTGGATCGAAGGGTTCGAGATTTGAGACTTGACGATGCTAAACGTCTATGTGCTCAGTATAAAAGTAATGATTGATCCTGTTAATAGGTTCAAAGATTCAGAGTTGTTGTGATGATGGCTGCTGCTTTTTTCTCTCATTAAGAGGAATGGTTATATCTGACCTATAGGATTTCTGACTTGGTTGTTCAGGCCACTTGTGCGTAGAGTGCCATTCAGGTTGAAAATTCCAAGTTCTTTCCTGTTCTTGTCTTTATGTCCCCCAATGGCATAGTGGTATGTCTGCAAACTTACAACGCTATAATCCGGGTTTCGATACCCGTGGTGGGCAGAGCACAGATTGCCCATTGTGTAGCTTTGTGCTTAATTACAAACAACAACTTTTTGTCTTTGCGCATCCAATTAGTCTACCATTCCTGTTTTAGGCCATTTATTTCTACCCTTTCATGAAATAAGTTTTTCTCCTTGCTTCTGACATGTTTCCCACAACCTGCTAGAGAAAGTAAATAGAAGTAGGATATAACATGTATCATTCCTTTTGTTTTATCTATCTTACACCTATTTCCTTACTTGTTAAGTTTCAGTTTTCCGTAATTACTTGGATTGAATCCCATCACCACAGATGCTCACCCTTTCACTTGTGGGAATGTTACAGTCAATCCCATTGTTTGTTGATAAGGAGTAGCCCAAGAGTTGGTGGTGGGTGGTGTTAAATGCTGCCTTCCCTCTTCTTGGTCACTTCAAAATTAGAAACAGATAGTCCTCGATTAGCTTTGCATGAAATTCAACAAAAATCTGAAAGTAAATATATTAACTTCTCATTCTATTTACTGTCACATAAAAAATATTAATAAAAAATGCTCTCAGCAGCTTATTAAGTATGTTTTTAATTGTTAACACTTTTAACTTACAAGAGTATTGACTTCCATGCGTAAGTTTTAAATGTTGGTTTCTCTGTACCCAGTTTATTTCTCAACTTAAAGGTTGCATTATTCCGTCATAAATGTTTGTTTAAATCTTTTAATCAGAGATGTATATATTTTGATATTTCTGAACAAAGTAGAATTAACACATTAGTCACCAGTGACTTAATAATATTTAAGAACTAATAATTATTTGGAATTAACACTATTAAAGATAGTTTTTTGATTTATGGTTCTATAAATTGTGAAAGTGGACAGTTTTTAAATAACTGGAAGCTGCAATCCACAGAACATTAGGACGAGACTGCACTAAAGCAGAGTGCACAGAGAATCCTCCCCATTATCCAAGTGTTATTGTAGTGGTTAATTAGCAGCAGAGAATCCTTCCTCGTTATCCAAGTTTTATTGTAGTGGTTAATTAATCTTTTATCTCTTGTTATTTCATTTTTTGTAACTGGTGTATTGTAAAGAACTATCATTTATGGTGACTGGAAACTGTCATCAGAAGGTAATGAGACTTGAGTTACCAGTTTTAGGATCACATGTCTAATATGTATCCAGGCTGTTTAGTTATTAAGGTTATGTATATAGCA